ATTTACCCACGAAACGTCTCTTTGGCGGCACATCAAAGAAAAGCACCTATTCCGTGATGCGTTCAAGTGTCTGGCTCCACAATGTACAAAGTCATACGGTCGAATGGACAAGATGCGGGAGCACTGGCAGTTTGCGCACGAAGTAAAGCATTCAGAAGAGCGCCGCTGTCTTTCTTGTCACACCTGATATCACAGAGGTTGATATTGCCACATCGGGTTCACGATTTGGATGCCACAGTACAGCTACGGAGTACCTTCTTAGGTATGCATTCAGTCACAATAGACTTTGCCTTTTTGTATCTTCTCACTTTTTGGCGTATCCCCTCAGACAAATTATCACATTCTCATAAGCTTTAGAAGTGATGCCATCATGTTAGAGCCCATCTATCGGTATGATCAACAAAATGTATTGACATTTACAATTACCCAAGTAATATTTTAGAATCAAGTGAATGAGGAGAACGAAGTCAAGAACTATTATAGAGGAAAGGTGGGGAGGAGTGAGAGTAAGCTTTGTAGTGAAAGGTGGGGAGGAGTGAGAGCAAGCTTTGTAGGAAGGTTTAAGTAGTAGATTGTAAACTCAATTCTGACTTTATACTATAAAGGTACCTAGGTAGAGATTTTAGATTGGTGTTGATTCCAAGGTTGTTTTGAACATCCCAATTGAAGTTGGAATTAGCAAGATGTAGTCTTAGTAACTAACTATTGTGTACTTCGTACATAATATTTCTTGCCCGTTGTAGAGAACGAACTGTGAATGTTGGATCTTCCGGTTTTACGGCTCGGCTTATTAGAGATGTAATATGGTCACTCTTAACTGTAGGCAGTAGGCAAGGTTTGGTATTTTACAGTATTCAACCAGCGGCGAGGAAAGCGGTAAATTTGATAAAAAAACATACTTCCGTAGACTCAGGCACGTGTTTCACCCGGTCGCATCGGATTGTAATGCAGTGCAATGTCTCGAGAGCAGCCTGTCTGAATAGAATTTGATTGACCGATTCCAAGGTTCGTTTGTAGGAGTATGACATTTTGAAGCGAGTGGGACAAAAATCCAATTGCGGTGAAATTCAGAGTGCACCCACAAGGGAGAAGAGCAGGGCAGATTGACGAACTGCCTGTCATCGGTGATTAGCGACAAATACTCTGTATCAAATCCCGAGCATGAAGATACAGTTAAAGAAAGCAACTAACGAATGAATTTTGGCATGCTCAAGTGGGATGCAGAGGGACCACCACACGCGAGCAACGTGCATGGGGATCGCTTTCCCCGGGTAATCAAAATCAAAGGGTTGTAATAGATTCGCGTTTGATCTTAAAAGTTCGCTCTTCAATTCTACGCCAGTAATGATTTTCTGCAGTATCTGAGTGCCTCTTCGAAGATTTGTATCCACTTCAGATCTCTACTTGGGGCGTCCCGCAGGTCGGACAGAGAGACAACTTACTTGTGTTAGAGCAATGTTGGTAGCCCCACTTCTACTGAGTATTTGAACCCCCAAAGACTTTCGACATGAACCCTTTTTTGATCAAACCAATATCACAGTCCGCTATCCGATCGACTCCTGACAGTTGTTCATGAATCTTCTCTTCTTTCGTCAATTCAGTTCATCATGACACAGAGCTTTCGAGATAATGAACTCGAATCATTTCTTTTGTGGGGGTTCAACTCGTTCAACTACCTGCCCTATGGGGGTGATACTTTTTGTGATAACGCGTCCTACATGCCTAACATACCAGGACCTATCCAGCCTCATTTCGAGCAAACCAACCCTGGTGCGAGTTTTGTCTGGGGTCCTCCTTATGCGCAAGACCCATGGGCTTGGAATGATAACAACATGAGCACTCTAAGCGCGCCCACCCAACACCATGATGGCTTGACAAACTGCTGGATCAGAGACAACGCATCCGCCGCCGAAGCGCCGAACATGGCCAACAGGTCCTTGATGAATCCGGATCTACCAGAAGCTCAAGATACAAATCATGGATATCTATCACCCCAAGCAGAAGAGTCTTCAAAAGAGACGACTGTTCGACGTGGTCAAGCTAAGCAGCCTATGCGACGTAGCCGACGTGCGATACGAAATACCAAGTACGTTTCCCTAATTCGGCTAACATTCCATTTCAGACCATTGACTGCTGGAAGTCTCGGCACTACCACAGATGACGCACAGAACGCGACCAGCAGTGCTTCAATGGCCAGTGATGGATTCCATGGACAGGATGCTCAGTACGAGTCTTTCTTACTCCAAATGAGGGGATCTCTTTTCCCTACAAAGACAGCCAGTCAACGTGGCCACGGTCAGCAGCCAGTATCACGTAGGCAACGTGTGGTACGCAATGCCAAGTAAGTTCACTGGATTGACATTTGCATATTTTCCAAGTCTCACTTTACCTAATATTCCATCCCACTTCAGACGAATGACTGCTGGAAGTCTCAGATGCGAGTGGAAAGACTGCACGAGCCCAAACTCATTTACCCACGACACAAGCCTATGGCGTCATATCAAAGAAAAGCATCTCGCCCCTGATGCATACAAGTGTCCCGCTCCACAGTGTGAAAAGTCATACGGTCGAATGGACAAGATGCGGGAGCATTGGCAATTCGCACATGAACCGAAGAAATATCGCCCTTGTCATGTGTGAGATATCGTTGGTCCCGAGCTCAAAATGCTGGAGTTTGGGCTTTTCTTCCGATAAATACTTTGGGGAATTTGTTCGTGAAAAGATATGCATGAATAATGTTAACAGGGAGACAATGTGTCTCTGATAGCGTACTCCGTTCGGAGAAATTCCTCGTAGCCTACCTCGTGAGGAAGGAGCGGTAGTGGTCCATTATCTCTTCATCTCATTTCTCATCCCGGTCAATCGCGATTCAGCCAGATACAGCCTATTCGGGGTGGGAGTTGACGGCGGTTCAGTCATGGTGGTCAAAAGACGCCACGAGACTGGAATCGCGTGTGCCTCTGGGGCTTTTGGCATCACTAACGGGGACTAACAGCATTTAAATGGAGAATAGAATTAATAAGCTTCTGCACACCCTTTGCCTGGACTCTATTTATGGTAATAACATGTTGCAATCTCGGGCACGTGATGTCGATGTCCTAGGCTCGTATTTCGGTTGCATTGGCCCCCAAAGTTGCGCAGCGCTGGACTTTCTCGATCTGCTAACTTCGGATGCTTGAGACGTGGAGATACTCTGTAAGCAGACAGTGTAAGCTTGGAACTAAATGATCCTTGGGATCTAAGGACACGGTCCAGGGGAAGAGGTGAAGGGTACCGTCGAGGGTTTCTCCGTCGCGTTTCTGAAAGCCCCCTCTATTCTCGTTGTACTCTTTTCCCTCTAAGAATGACGAATTATGTTTCCAACGGGGCACGTAGAGCCAGTTGCCAAGCCCCTACTGGAACCATCACAATCAGATCTTACATCAGTCAGGTCGAGAGGGTCTTAGCGCCACAGCTCTCTCTCCACTTTAAATGTACTAGGAACACAATCTTCGGGTCGCCTTCGTGCGTGAGTGGAGCCTCGAGAAAGAGTCGTGGCTGTGGAAGGACCTGTGGCTAGGTCCACACCGTCGCTCGATACCACCAATCACAGCAAAGTTCCCTGCACTCCACACCGTCGTTCGCAACCACCAATCACAGCAGATTTTTCCAGGCTCCTCTCATATCATTCGACGTGGGTGTTTTGAGCGGGTTCAAACCCAAAGGGTGCATATATCCACGTGTGTACGCACTACACTCATTGGTTATGATCTCCGAGATGGGTGAGATCTGGCGTATCTTCTTCATTATGCATTCCTCTGAATACCAGCTGTTGGGCGTGGATTGAACGTGCCAAACTTCATCGATTTCTACTTAAACCCTTCCCAGTTCCTCGACATTTATCATGATTTCTCTTCTACTCACACTGATATTGCAACCCACTATCCAGTCGAGTCTTGATAATTCTTGGCTTGTTTTCTCCTCTTTGGTCCATTATATTAATCATGACCACCCATGGATTTCGAGATAATCATTTCGAGGCATTACCTTTGGAAGGGTTGAACTACTTCCCATATAGGGGTGACGATTCCTCTCACCACTTGGCGTACGTCCCAAATTCACTACAAAGCACAAATATGCATCTTGAAACGACCAAACTAGGTACAAATTCTATTTGGAATCCTGATGTGCAAGGCCCATGGACATTCAATGGCAACAACATCAGCACATTCAGTGCTCCCACCCAACACGTCAATGACTCGACAACCCGCTGGATTGGAGACGACGTATCGGCGGTCGAAGCACAGAATATATCCAACAGTTGTTTGATCGGCCTTGATAGTCCAAACTTGCAGGACGCTCACCACCAGTCTCCGTCACTCCAAATGGATGTATCTCCAAAAGAGATAAGCAGTCGACGTGGACAAGTTGAGAAGCATGTCTCGCGTAGCCGGCGTACGATGCGCAAGACCAAGTAAGTTCTCTCGGGTCAAATATCTCTTCATCTTGCGAGTCCTTTTTCATCTAACAGACATCACCTTGAAGAGGAATGGCTACCGGTAATTTCAAGTGCGACTGGAGAGACTGCACCAACACAAACACATTTACCCACAAAACGTCTCTATGGCGTCATATCAGGGAAAAGCATCTGGCTCCGCACGCATTCAAGTGCCCTGCTCCAGAGTGTGCAAAAGCATACGGTCGAATGGACAAGATGCGGGAGCATTGGCAATTTACGCATTCCGATTCGACAGAACCAATGGGAAGCCGCTGTTCCTCGTGTCATACGTGACATCATGAAGGTTGATTCTTATATTTTCTCTCATTTTCGGATCTGGAGTGTTATTATCGATAGAATCTGTTATGGGATGTGAGATTTTCCATAGTCCATTTCATTGGTGAACGTATTATGACTTCTCTCTTTCTCTTTCTGCTTGTCTGCTTTTCAGTGTTCACTTTTCAAATCGCAAACACAATCCGAATCCTCTCGTTTTCAAAAGATCCCGGTTGGAGGAAACTCATCAGAGTATGCAGTTAAAGATCCAAAATGCGACACTGATAGCGATCCAGGAAATCGGTAGATGAGCAGCAATAGCGCCATTGGTAGGCCTCGTCGTATCTAGGCAATTTATCGCATGCCCAGCTTTCGGCAAACGACCAGATTCCAGAAGTTCATTGAAGGGTGTGCAATTGAAGCTTGTCGAGTTTCTTGATGGGAGAATCGAGAAGCTAGTTAAGACCGAAGGGGGGTATTTGCTATCCAAGGGGGCATTTTGCTGAGCCAAAAACGGATCGCTGATTGTCTAGATTAGCTTTTCGACAACTTTTGCCGTTGGGGGTGAAGCAGGAATACATACAAAAATTCAGTCGATGTAGTGATATCTATCAAATTAATGTAAGAGACATTTCTTGGCCAGTACCAAGTCTGAGTGCTATTGTCTTCACTGTATAGCGAGGTCAGATTTAGATCGGGGGCCGTTGCGACGTAGAGGTGAAAGCCGCCTGTCCAGTCCAGGGCTTGAGGTGGAAGTGTGATAGACTTTAGAGAACGGGTCTCTTGGATCTTGAGAGAGCGGAGATTTTCAAACGGTAGTTCTAAGTCAGTGATGGAACTCGAGGCTGTCAAAGCCAGAGTGTCAATCTCAAGTGAATTGAGTTGTGCGCTGCGCTTCAAATCTGTAACATCTCCGGACAATTTGAATTGTGTGATATTCATGTCTTTTGTCGAGGTGCCTCCTAGGACAACAAGTGAGTTATCATTGATTCTGAGGTCCTCCACAGACGTGAATCCGATAGTAATGTTGTTGACGTTTGGAAATGGACCATCGAACGAGGCGTCCTCCAAGGCGATGGGATTATTAGCCAAGCTGTCCAGCGAGTCAATCTTCATCGGGTAGACAATCAATGCTAACACATTCCGTAGCCTTGTGTGGTGCAGAGTGGTGAGATTCGGGGCATAAAGCTTAATTGTCGACGCGGTTTCCAAACTCGTTATGTCCAAGTAGGTGAGATCATAGGCAGATTGCCCGACCTTGAAATAGTCATCCACGTAATCCAGGCTGGGAAGTGTGAGATTCACTATCTTGGAATCGTAGTGCCCAATTTCAACTGCATCAACCGACCTCAGAGTTGAACTGGAGAGTGTATAGAACGGTTGCGTGTCGTATTCGTGTCGAGAATAGGGATATTCCCCCAGGGTGCCTCCAATCATCGTGATACCGTCAAGGTTGATATGAACGGTGGAGGTGCCGTTGAATGGACCAATTCCAACGTGACCATAGACTATCGGACAATCCTGACGAAGTGCGTCCGCGTCAGCCGCGGACTTGATCCATGTCGAATTGCAGTCAGCAGCGAAAACACCTGGAAATATGAGTTTGGGTGCCCGGAAACCATTTTTTGACAAAAGATAAAATTCACTCACTGGAACAACATAACAGGAAAACTAGAAGCTCTGCAATTCCAGGGGCGCAGCTAAAGGCAAACATGTCGCGATCTATCTCAAGAGGAGTCGATCACCGGGTAAAGGAACCGCAGGACGTGGGGCGCATAATGCGTACCATATGTAGGAATGATCGTGCCCCTGAAAAAAGGCAAGCTGTCGCGCCTCAGACTGGGCTGCATTAGCCTCAACATGCTAATTTGGTAGCGGAGGGCACTGTAACATCGGGGCTCTGTTTGGGGAGGATTGATTGGGTTACGGGGCGGAGAGGCAACAACGCCGAGCACTTGGCAGGCTTGGCTTCGATTCATTTCCACTTGGGAGCGGAGTTTCGCCTTTCTCGAACTTGACATAATCGAAAGGCAATATATAGGGCTGAATATAATAATCGCGTGCCTCGTTTCGCTTTGTTTTTTGGGGGAGTGAACAACCTAGTGATGTCTTTCTTATAGATTGTTTTTTCTCTGCTTTTTTCGTTTGCGCAGTTCACCAGGGTGTTTGCTCGGACCCCGGTCTTGGCATAAATCGTCTCAACCCAGTACCTTTCCAAATCTGCCTTGGACCTCAAGCTACTCCGTTAACCATGGGCTTTTCTCCTCGAGGTATAGCGCATGGACTTCGAGATGTGGCCAGGTGAGTGGTCTACTTGAGCAGTACTCCGTACTCTGTAAATAATCCCAGCTCTCCGTCTCTCTTCTTTCTTTCACCCTACACATGCACTTCGTTTACGGAGGCTCTCCGGTTTGTTCGGCGCTCCTGCAGATGGCGTCCCTTGGAGTGCCAAGCTTTTGAAGGCCAATAGCATGTTTTTCCTGGCACAGTCATGCAGCTAGGGTGGTTGCCTCATACGAAACAGCGCTAAAACGGAGAGGCTGAGCGGTGTTTGATAGCAAGAGACATCGAGATGAATTCTTCACTTAAGGAAGATTCATACTACTCGAGGTGCCGTTGCAAGGTGTTGACTTTTCGCCAAAATGGAAAGTGACGAAGCGCTTTCGCACGTCGGCAGACGACAACAAAGTCAAGCAGATGACACCCAGCCCGACGGAGCAGACCAGACGACCGAAATAGTCCAGACAAGCGACACTCTGGCACTCGAAACGTCGGAGCACGATGGAAGGTCATCGGATTCGACAGAGGGTTCGAACTCCTTCCAAGAAGCGAGCGAGTTCATACCACTCGAAGAGACTCCATCGGGATATCCTGAGCTGGATTGGAAACCACCCATTTTGCGTAAGTGGTGCCTTCTTTTGGCCATCGCCTTTTTCGTGGCATGCTTGACCGGGCTCGCGATTATTGTCCGAGTCAACGACACCAGACCGGAGCTTCTGCATGTCGCCCGAACGCCTAGCCAGCTCGCCTTCCGATATGTACCTGCCGCCACCGGCACCGTTTCGTCGATCTGGTGGAGCTCCTTGACTCGATCCTATCTTCGCCTCGTCCCTTACATTTCTATGGCATCTGTGTCAAATGCTCCCAAGGGTCGAGGGTCACAAGACAACGACACCATTCAATCCACGGGGGACTTGGAGGCATTCTCTCTCTCACCAAGCTCTATTTTTCGCCTCATCAAGGAGCGCCCCGTCCTCACCGTGATCATGTTTTTGACCTCATTCTTAGTGGGCATTTTTCTTGCGCCCCTGAAGAGCACCTTGTTCCAGACAATACCGGATTCCGAGGGATGGACGATCTATGTCTCGGACAAAATTGCATATGGAACCATCGCGCTATACTCTCTGATGACGGCAAGCGCCATCGCCATACTGATACGTTTGTGGTCGGTCCGCACGGGGTTGAAGTGGGAGGTCAGCTCAATCACCTCTCAGCTGGCACTGGTTCATAATTCCAACATCTATGAGCCTTTCCATGGACTCGAGTTTGCGTACGACCACCAATTCTGGAATCTTGTGCGCTCTTGGCCCCTGAAGTACGGTGGTCTGCGCCTCGGGTACTGGAAGGTGCGACGCAATAAACCTTGATTTATTTTGGCAATATACTGACGCTATCTCTAGTCATTGCGCAAGCTGCAACTCCAAAGTGCGAGAATGAAGCTTCAACGCTAGAGCGAGGATCGACGAATACCGAAACCGGAGCTTTATCAAACGTTCGAGGCACTCATGCAGTACCCTCCCCGCACAACACCGACGGTAAGAGTTGTGATCTAGGAAACTTACGAAATAAGTCGAAGCTCACAATTTATAGAAGCGCCACTCAGTTTTGAAGGCTGCGAGGTTGATGATCCAGAACGCTTTCGCTACGCATCACTCTACATCGAGCAATATGATAGTGTACTGGCCTTTTTCCTTGCTATTGGAGTTGCTTTATTTGTTACTTGCATTGTTGGGATGTCACGAGACATCGCTCACCGTGGATTCTATTTCACACCCCCTGTTCTGACAGCCAGCATTGCACTAGCGCAACAAACTCTTTTTACGTTTTTGCCTGCATTGCTATTCGACTTGCTCTCTATCGAGGTCAACACAGCGGCTTATTTTTACCGACTGCACCAGCCAATAGCTAACATGCAAAGCCCGGTTTCGGCCGAGAAAAGCGTGTTACTTGACTATGTTGGTCGAAACGCAGCCAGTGCCATGCTAACGGCAGCTGCGAACAAACATTGGCGGGTCGCGTGGTTGAGCTTTCTCGACAGCGTATCTGCAATTCCTCTTATCTTGGTCGCGAACGCAGTTAACGCTGAAGAAACACCTGACGGTTGGCATGTGAACGTTACTGGGGGGAAGTTTTACTCGCTCTTTGCCTTGTTAATCGTTTACTGTGTCTCCATCGTGCTGTGCAGACCGCCGCCGGAGTATCGGACCCTCATGGTGGTATCTACTCTCGCTGAACTCTTGACCCTGTGCTATGATAGCCACATGCTGGATGGCAACGAGTTCTCCGTCCAGGATGCATCGGACCGAGAAATTCATCTCGTCTCGAAAGTGCATCTCGCGAAGCGAAAATATCAATTCGGCCTATACATGGGTCGAGATGGGCGAAGACATCTAGGATTTGATGCCACAAGCGACAGGGCAATAGAGGGTGATGTGCCTCCCGTGTATGGCATTGAGCCAGGAAGGGCTATATATTTCACCTCGAGGCCTTTGTGGCTCCGCCCTCCTGTTGTTAAATATCCCGAAGGGGAGGATATTTCCATTTAGGTTCATCCAATATGGGCTCTTTAACTGTCCAGATCGGTACAGAGCCAATTGGGTGTGGTGTGGTTTTTCTAGTCGACCTGTCTGCACATAGGGTGCCTGTGGGGCCCGTGGGGCCTCGCCAAGCCCCTAGTCGTCGGGCCTCGGCCACAATCTCTACGCAAGGGATCACCCGGACCGGCCCTGTCCGGGCTTGGCCGGGGCCCACGTTCGACACTAGTCTCACCAGGTGCTTTTCTCTCTTAAATCTTTTCTTCAAGTCTATCTCATGGCTAGTCACTCTTTCGGGTCTATTTGTTCTTTTTCTTTCCACAACTTTCTCGTGTTTAATTTTGACTGTGCGTATAATCGAAGATATCTTGCGACCGCAAACTTCTTCAGATGAGGTTCATTCAGGAGCTTGTTCAGCAGACTGGTGTCAGAACCAATCAGAACTTCCATGCATTCATTCGGAAGCATCGGCAAAAGATTTGTATGCCGTTGAGAGGTTCATTTCCAGGGATTCGGACAGAAGTCATGTTGTGACCAAGCTTGGAGCCCCAATCAAAGAGTAGAGGGAAATTCGCATACAGTGGACACATGTACTATCAAGGTCAGCTTTGGGGGTCAAAATTCAGGCGTTGTCAATGCTTTCTATCAGAGTCATCACATCGTCGGTGGACTGGCTGTCTGCTTTTTAGACTTCCTTGAGGACGATCCGTGCCAGCGTGGCCAGGTTCAGAACCTCGTCCGTCTTCCAAGCTTACACTGGCGGTGCGCTGGGGAACAGATTCTGTCTGGCGTGGACTCGTGGAGCTGACTTCACTATCACTCAAATCACCTTTTGTAGGCGCAGTGGATTCCTTGGAAGCTTCCAAAAGGCGCTCCATGAATGCATCTGCCACGGCAGCATAATGGCATCTCTTCCGGATGCGAGCGCCGTAAATATAGAAAAGGTACGGGATAGGCACGCAGGCTAGTGCCATGAAGGCAGGAACTGATGCTTCCCAATGAATTCCGAGGTTCTCATACACCCGACCACAAAGAGTCCAAGAGCCAAGCCGCGGGTGGCTGGAGGAAACAGATCTGCAATTATTCCCGCAGGAACAGCCATGGGTGCAGAGCCGAGGCTACCAGCGAGGAATCGCAAAATAAGGAGAGTCTCGATGTTGTGTGCCCCAGCGATACCAGCAAGAGTCACAGTCAGTGCCGCACCACTCGCGACCAAAATGTAGCGACGACCATACAGCTCACTCAAGGGGGCCCACATAAGAGGACCAACAGCAAAGCCGATAACAAACAGGGACACTCCTAGTAGTGCGACTTCTTCGGATGTCGCAAAGTGCATAACAATCCTGGCGAGGGCACCCGAGTAAGCAGATGAGACGAGGGCAACGGTAAAGGCAGAGAAGGCACCAAGTAGATTGAGAAGCCATTTCTTTGTATCGCGGAAGTTCATGGGGTTGTCGTTGTCGCCTGGCATCCATCCGACAATGTAGGGATCTTCCAGACTGCCAGATCCACTGAAGGAGTGGTGAACGACTTCTGGCGGGAGATCGACAGGATTGAAGAATTTGCCAAGGACTGCATTTTTCCAAAATTTGGACCATTTAGCACTGTTGGGAGGCATCTTTCAAGCCACAAGTGAGCCTGGCGTAGCGAAAGAATTTGCCGAATTGATTCCAAGTTTAGAAGGTTGGGGAGAACGCAATACTACCCCCGATTAGTCTCTGGTGGAGGGAATATTCGCATCATTTAAATGCTCCTACGCCGCCAGCACTTCCAGCTCCAGGGCTATTGACATACGAGTATACACGGGATCCCGACAATGAGGTAACTCTAGGCGAGGACATGTGGGTCTCCGATTACCGAGACAAAGTGATTTACCCCTAGCGTCGATATGTCTGCAGAAGCCCCGCAATAGGGGATATGAAGAGTGATCGCCATGAGATTTTCCGCGCATGAATCATGCACGCTCATTTTATGTAGCCTGCTTCCTTGCTCTACACACTTCGGATGCTTTATGATTGGAGTCAATGGCTGGTGGCCCAATGGACTGGTCAACCAATGTAGATCTCGGGTAGCACTTCAGTATCTCGCATGTCCGTAAAGTTTAATGTCATGCAGGTTAAAACTACATCTTCAGCTTGGCCATTGATCCCTGCAAACTCTCTGCGCAGCTTCTAAAGTTGGCCTGTCGTTCTCCTGATCACATTCACCGTATCCAATAGCCCCTTCTTCAGTGCATATCCTGGGATCTCATGACCACCGTCGTGGACGTAAGTCGAGAGAATTTCCCGCTGGAACAGTTCCTGCAGTTCAATTGCCTTCGTGGAGTTTGGATCCATTGAGCCCCACACCAGTGTTGTTGGGATTCCAATGGCTTGCGAGATCTTGCTGGCATCGATCTCGGTGAAAACGCCACGACATAGATCGTCATAATCCAAAGGTGCCATGCGAGGGGAGAAGAAGATGGCGCACTTGAAAGGCAATGGCTTATTTTGTTCCACATTGCGCATCAGAAGGGTGCATGCTAACATCATTCCCTGACTAAACGCCAGGACTCCATCATATGGACCCTCCCTGGCGATGAGGCTTTCCAGGTCCTCCACCGCACGCAGCGAGGCACTGGCAGACTCCGGGTCAAAATACGAGAAGCCTTGATCGGTGGATGGCACAAGATCCTTGATTTCTAAAAGACTGTCAGATAGATTGCCATGGCAGAGCTGTCGAAAAGGACACCTACCAGAAGCAAGCTCGTAAGGGAAAATGCCTTCCACAAAATCGTAGGTATGATCGTCACCTAGCTCATAGCGTAGAGGTGCTGCGCAGATAATGGAAAGTTGTTTGTTAGAAGGCTTCGATTGGTGGACGCAGGGGAAGTCAAACCGGTTTGTATCTCGAGGACCTAGATGGACGCCTGAATGTGAGCAATAAGGTTCATTGCATTTACGACAGGTAATGGAGGATGAAATGCGTACCTTGGAATTTGTCCCAACTCCGTGCAGACTGCGATTGGGATTAGCATGGCATAATGGCAGTGGTAGACTCATCATACCAAAGAAATCGCATTGTGAGACTTGGTTGAATATAGCAAGGAATCTGAAGTTTGAAGTTTGCTCCGGATGAGTTGTTGTGGGATCCATGAACGTATCGGTGAGCTTTTAAGGACTCCATCGCGGACTGAGCGTCATTTCTGCAAAATGCAAGGAAAGGAATAGTATCTTGCTTGGGTAGTGATGCGTGAGAAAGTTGAGCTCGACCTCTTGCATATCACACTAGATCTCCGATGCATGCGTCGGTTAAACGCCTATTCTCGTATTGATATCCAACTTGTTGTTGGCGATAGATAAGTCGATTTCAGGCGATCATTTGACCGCTCAACGCCTCCTCCGTAGTCGTGATCACATCCACGGGGAAGAACGTCATCAGTGTATCGATCAAGATACTGTTGGGTCAAGTGACCAACCTTGCCCTGCTCTCGGCACCTCTGTCTCTCACTGTCTTTTTCTATTTAGTTTTCATCTGGGACACATTAGCCATTTCAGCACAGATCGAGTCCGCTTTTCCCTTTTGCCTTCTACGCTTTCAGTCTACAAGCGAAAACCACCGAGCCCGCGCAGAATCTGTACTTTGAGCACTACTGAGCTGAGCCACGATGCCGCACACCACCAATCAAGATGCCCAGAAAGGCATTGAGCCACTGGCGATTGTTGGCCTCGCCCTACGCTACCCCGGCGATGCTAACACCTCAGACGAATTTTGGAAGCTGATGATGGACAGACGATGTGCTTCCACTAAGGTCCCCTCTGACCGTCTCAACGTGGACGCACATCACCATCCCGATACTTCACGGCATGATAGCCTAAGTGTCAACGGAGGACACTTCATTTCCGGTGACATTAGTGCGTTTGACTCTGCTTTCTTTTCAATCCCTCCTGCGGAGGCCGAGGGCATGGACCCTCAGCAACGTATCATGCTGGAAACAACATACCAGGCTTTTGAAAATGCTGGGATCTCGCTGGAGAAAGCTTCTGGGAGTCAGACCTGTGTCTTCACAGGCTGCTCGTCGAACGACTACGCTACTTTGTACTCCAAAGATCCCCAAAATGGGGGGAAATACTCAGCTTATGGCCAGGCGATGAACATGACTGCAAACCGGTTGAGCTGGTTCTACAACCTCAAGGGACCTAGCTTGAATGTTGATACCGCTTGCTCTAGTGGACTGGTGGCGTTGGACGCGGCTTGCCAGTCGATCTGGAGTGGTGTCTCCACTTCGGTAGGACATTCCAGCCTGTCAGAGTAGGATTCAACTAACAGCAAATTCTCCTTAGGGTCTCGTCGTCGGTGCCAACTTGATATTTGCTCGGGAATTCAGCAACGCTCTTGACAATCTGGGTGTTCTTTCCCCGGACAACAGATGTTTTACTTTCGACGAGCGCGCGAATGGATACGGTAGAGGCGAGGGAGTGGGAGCTGTCGTTATCAAGCCTGTGAAGGATGCCATCCGTGATGGTGACACTATCCGCGCAGTTGTCCGCTCCACCAGGTCCAATCAGGATGGTCGGACACCGGGCATCACACAGCCTGATCGCGAGGCCCAAAGAGTCTTGATTGAAGATTCTTATCTCCAGGCTGGACTGGATCCTGCTACAACCCGCTACTTCGAGGCTCATGGAACCGGAACCTCAACGGGAGACCCGATAGAGATGAGAGCCATTGGCACTGTCTTCAAACAACACCGGTCACCAGAACATCCTCTTTACGTGTAAGCTGACATTTGCTCATACCCCTGACATTTTTAGCTGACTTTACACCACGATAGGGGATCGGTGAAATCCAACATTGGACACCAGGAGAGTGGAAGCGGGATCGCTGCACTGATCAAGGTCATTCTGTCCCTGGAGAAGGGTGTGATTCCTCCAGTTAGCGACAATTTCCACTCGGTCAATCCTGCTATTGATGTGGAATATTACAACCTAAAGGTAATTGAGTCCCTGATAAATATTTATACACACACACTAACGTGGCTTTTCATCTTTTGTTCTACAGGTTGTTTCAAGTCCTGTTATCTGGCCCACTGGACTTCGTCGGGCGTCAATCAATTCATTCGGGTTCGGCGGTACGAATAGTCACGTCATCTTGGATGATGCCCTTCATTTCCTTGAAAGCCAAGCCTTGACAGCCAACCACACCTCTTGCGCCCACCCTTCATTGGAGCAACAACCTACCAACGGATTTGCTACCAATGGTTCTCTCGTCGTGTCAGCTCATACTAATGGGATTCATACCAATGGGACTCACGTCAATGGGACTCATGTTAATGGATCCCACGCCAACGGCTCCCACCCTAATGGAGAGAAACCAGATTATCGTTCCTTTCTAAACGCGGACAACCATAATCGGATCATTACATGGTCGGCATCTGATGATGCTGGCATTGAGCGACTGGCACAAGTGTGGAAGGACTATTTCAATCATGTTTCAGTGGCCGCGAAGGGTTCCGAAACCTACATTAACGATCTTGCTCATACTCTCAATCAAAGACGCAGCCACCTGCCATGGATGACCTACGCCCTCGTTGATACCAACACCAAGTTCGACGGGATTGTGGAGAGTTGGAAAGCGCCAGTTCGGCGCCAAGAGAGCCACAACATGGCCTACGTATTTTCGGGGGTATGAACCTATCCAAATATTGAACTCAAAATGATTGCTGACAACTCGAACAGCAAGGGGCTCAATGGGCAGCTATGGGCTGTGAGCTATTGTCTCGATACCAAGTCTACCGTCAGAACCTTGTGGAGGCAGGTCAATACCTGCGCAGTCTTGGCTGTGAATGGGATCTTCTTGGTAAGCTACCCACAATTAGGGATGGAGAGGATACTAATCGATTGATCTCACGTCAATAGACGAACTCCAGAAGAGCGAGGAAAAGTCACTAGTGAACGATCCGACTCTCGCACAGCCACTTTGTACAGCTATTCAGATTGCGCTTGTGGATCTGCTGTCTTCATTCGGCATTGAACCATCCACAGTCATTGGTCATTCTTCCGGAGAGATTGCTGCTGCGTATGTGATCAACATCTCCCTTGGATTTATCAACATCCGCGCTCAAGCTGACACTTTATGATAGATACTGCGCTCATTCTATCTCTCGTGAGTATGCTTGGCGTCTGGCCTACTTCCGTGGTCTCTGGGCGGCAAATCTCGCAACATCTTCCTCCATGGATGGAGCAATGATGGCAGTGGCATTATCAGCCGAGCAAGTTCAATCGTTCCTGGACCGACTAAATGACGAGGGAAAGCAACAACGCGTCAGTGTGGCTTGTGTGAACAGCCCCAGGAGTGTCACTCTCTCTGGCGAACGAAGTCAGATCAACAAGCTACACAGCATGTTCCAAGAGCAAGAAATCATGGCCAAGGTTCTACCAATTCCTGTTGCCTATCACTCCTTCCAGATGGAGGAAATTGCGATTGCCTATCGGGAAAGCGTTGGAGATGATGCCAAACGTCCATTGCTGAGTCCAGAATATCACTCGCCTCAAATGATATCTTCTGTTGATGGAGAGTGGGTTGATGGTGAAAGGCTATCCAGGGCTGAATACTGGGTTAGCAATCTGCTATCGACTGTGCAGTTCCTGAATGCTTTCAAGAAGCTCTCCGCTGCTCACCCTGGCCCGTTGACAAAGAAGCTGGATGGCTCTCATCGAAAACGGATAGTGATCGACACGATAGTGGAGATTGGACCCCATGCTGCTATGCGAGGCCCATCTCGCGATATACTCAGGGAAGCTGGCCGCAATATGCAAGTTCAATACCTATCTGCCCTGATGCGGAATACCTGTGGAGTGCAAACCTTGCTGCAAACAATGGCACAGCTGCGCTGCATGGGATTCCCTGTGAATCTCTGCATTGTCAATTCCAAACCATCAAAAGCGACAAAGAAACAGCCCAAGGTACTCACAGATGTTCCATCGTATCAGTTCAATAAGTCCAAATCATATTGGCGCGAGGGCACAATCAGCAAGTCATTCAGGTTCCGTCGGTTTGGAAGACATGAGCTTCTCGGGTGGCCTGATTATGACTGGAATCCATTGCTTCCTAAATGGAATAATGTTCTACAACCCTCTGATCCCGTTTGGGTGAAGGACCATCAGGTATGTATTACGTGAACTGATTCCCTAGTCGTGTGAGTGATTTACTAATTTTCTCTAGCTGAACAACACCATCCTGCTCCCCGGTGCAGCCATGCTTGCTATGTCAATGGAAGCCATGAAGCAGCTTCAAACTGTGGACAAGGAGATAAGCGGGTTCAACTTCAAGAATGTGAGCTTCATGTCGGCATTGGTTGTTCCAGCTACGAATACGGGTGTCGAAACCCGATTTTGTATGCGGCCACAGCGTGATGATGAATCCGATAATGCATGGTACGAGTTCACTCTCTATTCTTCCAACGGCTCATGGGTGAAGAACTGCACGGGTAATATTCAGGCAGTCGTCGGAAAGCCTCACGAGAGTGCATCCCATGCCACTGAATCAACCTCGTTGGAAACAACGGCGGCACTGGATGAGCTGCACGAGATGAAGGACCATGCCACGACGGTCCTAAACCCAGCTGATTTCTATGAAAGTCTCAAAAGATCTAAGCTTCAGTTTGGTCCATCTTTTGAGGTAATTGAGAGCGTTGCTACCAATCAAGTCGATCGATCGATCATGGAAATCAAAACATACAGATCAGGGTCACCTGCACGCTGGAACGAAGCATACACCATCCACCCAACGACCTTGGACGGTCTCATGCAGAGCACTCAGTTGCTGCGCTCTCAGGCGGGTCATAGAAGGATTCCAGCGTCCATTCCCATCCGCCTGGACCGGGCATGGATATCCAATACCGGGCTCAATGCCTCGAGCACACCCTCGATCAAGGTTGGAACAAAGCTTCGACACGAAGGTCGCCAGGAATCTACTTTCAATATCACAGGCGTGGGTCACGCTACAGAAGAGGTTCTTATGAGGGTCGAAGGCGTCACTTTCAAAGCAATTGATTTCCAACACTCCACCCATGACGAATCCTCTCCGCAAAGCTCGAAGTGCCATAGAATCGAGTGGAAGCCAGATTTGGACCTCATGAACGAAACGAGTATCCTGAAACTTTTCAAGGATTCTGTCTCTGAGACAACTGGGCTAGGCTGTCACTATCTGAACATGGAATTGATGATCACAGGCTTCATCTCCCGGGCCGAAAGTGCACTACTTGAACGTAGGAAAGAGAATGATGCTTTGGCTCAGGTTCAACCCTATATGGACTGGATGAAGCGTCATGTGGAGCTCAACCAGATTGGGAAGTCTCCATTCAGCTCTGAGTACTGGCAAGAAAGGATTCGAGGTGAAGATGAGTTTTTGGAGCTTTGCACTTCCGTTGAAGAAGCTAGCCAGCAAGGAAAAATGCTGGCAAATATTGGAAGATCACTTGTGAAATACTCTCGTGGCGAAGGTGAAGGGCAACTGTCTCACATTGTTGATGTGGAGCAGGTGGAAGGGTCTTATGAACAATTGGTACAGCCCCTACCTTCCTACCCGTTGTCAAAGGGTGTAAACTAACATTGTGGCAGTTTGAAAATGCTCCCGGGGCACTCCGTTGGCGAGCATACATGGAAACACTGTCTCACAAGCATCCGGAAATGAGAATACTTGAAGTTGACGGCAGCGCCGGGTCTGCGTCCCATCTTCTTATGAATACCTTGGCGCCAAGAAGGCCGGGTGGTCACATCATTCCACGTTTTGCGCACTTTGAGATTGCAAACAGCGATCAAGGTCGACTTTCGGCCCTTCAGATGCGCCTAGGGGACTCCAGCCCCCGAGTTTCCTTCAAACAGCTTGATGTTGGGGGAAATCTTGGTTCCGAGGTCCTGGAAGACAACAAGTATGATCTCGTTGTCATTTGCTTGGTATGGATCAACTCTTCTCATGTGTTCGGATCTATCGCTCATTTTAACTGAATAGGCATTCCATCAATTTGCATCTATCGAGAAATGTTTGGCAAACATTCGAAGTATGCTGGCAGAGTAAGGTTTTCCCGAGATGGGATTTATAACGGTTGAGTACATCGATGGCTAACACAACGAGCCTGCAGACGGGGGAAATTGGTTATAATTGACATGGTAAACCCTGAAGCCGGTCGCAGCGCTTTTGTGAATGGCTTGGATGAAAGCTGGTGGATAAGTTGGTTCCCCTTCAACCTTTCACACTCAGGTTCTAACAGAATACTCTCATTTAGACAGTGAGGATTACCGAAGCGGTGGTCACTGCATTGGTGAGTCCAAGTGGAATGAACTTTTGCGGCAGTCCGGATTCTCTGGGTCCGATCTTGTCTTCCGTGACCATGATGACCTTGCCTGCCACGAGGTAAGCATCATAGTATCAACATCTGTCCCAGGATCTTCTGTGGATGTCGATCATATCAATCCTCCTGTGGCAATTCTTTTGGATCCAACACAGCCTTCGCAGCAAGGACTTGCCCAGGAGTTGGACTCTGAGCCACAGAGAACATTTGCCCACTCTGTGGAACTTTGGTCCATCAAAGAAGCCCTTCCAACTCCAATACCCAAGGATTTGATTTGTGTGGTTCTTCTGGAGTTTAAAAATCCATTGCTGGCAGACATGGATGAAAACCTCTTTCAGAAACTCCAGTATCTAGCTGGAGGATGCCGCAAAGTCCTATGGGTCAGCTCCAATGGTGGAACCAAAGAGTCGCCATTTAATCGAGTTGTCGACGGTCTCTTCAGGGTCCTGAACTCAGAAGACAGTCGGAGCACATTCACCACATTGTCCATTGAGAATGCAGCTTTCCAGGTCAACCATATAACCCGAGTGTTGAAAGCGATGGATTCATATCCAAACCCTGAAACGGAATATGTGGAAAGGTCAGGCTTGCTTCAGATTCCACGTCTTGTTGAGGCTCCACGACTTTCCAACGCCGTCAGTCGACTTCGATCCTCGAAATACCCTGCACGCTTGAACTGGAACTCCACGCCTCCTCTAAAGCTTGCCGTCGGTTCTGGCGGCACCCTTGATGGTCTCCAATTTATCGAAGACATGGACCGCAGCTCACCTCTCCCCGCGGATATGCTAGAGATCAAAGTGAGGGCAGTTGGTGCAAATTTCCGTGATGTGCTAGTCATGCTTGGGAGGATGGATCAGACTACTCTGGGCTTCGAGTGCGCCGGTATAGTGACACGAGTTGGGAAGAATTGCACTGACTTCCAAATCGGTGATCAAGTTGTTGGATGCAACCATGATAGCTACCGAACCTACGCACGCCTGCACCAAGCTGCCGCCATCAGAATACCCTCCGGAATTTCTTTCAGTCACGCAGCTGCCATCCCGACAAATTTTGTCACTGCGTGGCATAGCTTGGTCTGCATTGCCAACGTGCAGCCCAATGAGACCGTCCTGATTCACTCTGGCGCAGGAGGCACAGGACAGGCAGCCATCCAGGTGGCTCAATATCTTGGGGCCAAGGTGATTGCGACCGTTGGAAACGAGGAAAAGAAGAAATTCTTGATTGATCGTTACGAAATCCCTGAGTCTCATATCTTCTCCAGTCGAAACACCGACTTCGCTGCGGGTATTCGACGATTAACGAAGGGCCAGGGTGTTGACACCGTGCTCAACTCCCTATCTGGTGAGGGCCTTCTCGCATCGTGGGAATCCATTGCGCCTTATGGCCGGTTCCTCGAAATCGGCAAGCGCGATATCCTGGCTCATGGTCAGCTTGATATGTACCACTTTGCTCGTAATGTCACTTTCAGCGCAGTTGATCTGGCTTTGGTCGTGCAAGAGCGGCCGCAGCTCATTGGAAAAGCTCTACGGGCGCTGATGCCACTCTTTTCTACGGGAACCCTCCGTGTGTCTGGCCCTCTCCGTGTACATGGGATAGATGAGCTGGAGACAGGGTTCAGGACCTTACAGGGTGGACAAAGCTCTGGAAAAATTGTTTTTGAGATGTGCGGTCATGAACTCGTCGATGTATATTTCTCCCCTCTCTCCATATACTTCGGTCTTTTGCTGACCGGTGATAGACCATGATTACACCACAATCATCCCACAGTTTTGACCCCAATGCCACCTACATCATCGCTGGAGGCTTGGGAGGCCTAGGAAAGAGCATCGTTCGATGGATGGTTGGAACTGGAGCTCGGAATTTGCTTCTCCTTTCTCGCTCGGGGGCACAGAGTCGTGATTCACAAGCTTTCATGCGAGAGCTCGCTAGAAATGACGTCACAGCTCTGGCTCCTCCTTGTGATATCACGAATCGCTCTATGTTGGAGGCTGTTCTGGGGGATGTGTCCTATTCTATGCCCCCAATCAAAGGATTCATTCAAGCTACAGTGGTTCTCCAGGTGAGTGACCTATTTCCAAACACCTTATATTGATCGAGAAACTGACTGGATTCAGGATGCAATGTTCCAGCAGATGACACATTCGCAATGGGTCCAAGCAACAACCCCCAAGATAGCTGGTACCTGGAACATGCACCAGCTCCTGCCATCAGGTCTGGACTTCTTCATCATGCTCTCCTCCATCTCGAGTATCATGGGAAATCGGGGCCAGGCAAACTACGCTGCAGCCAATGGCTTCATGGACGCACTAGCACATCACCGAATGGCCCACGGTGAGAACTCAACTTCACTAAACTTGGGCTTCTTCCTTTCCACTGGACTGGTTGCGCAATCCACCTCCTTGAAAGACCGGTATACTTCCAAGTTACCTTTCGATCCCGTCACGGAGGTAGAGCTTCACGCCCTTCTGTCCCTTCACTGTGATCCATGCACCCCTCGATCAAATGAAAATGGCTGCCAAACAATCTTTGGTATCACAACTCCCAAAGATGTCTACAAAAGCAGCCCCGATGCTATATATTGGCTCGAGAAACCCGCCTTCCGACACATCATTGCCGTTGAACACGCAGAGGGCGCCGGAGGAGGCTCACCTGAGCAACACAACCATAGTCAAGCCGGAAAAAGTCTCTCATCTGCAGACTCAGTTGAAACGGCTGGTGCGCTGTTAACCGGACTGCTGGTTTCCAAACTTTCGAAGACTCTAGGTGTTCCAGAAGAGGAGATACATGGGGAAAGACCCCTGCATAGCTATGGAGTTGACTCCCTAGTTGCTGTGGAGCTCCGTAACTGGTTCTTCAAAGAGTTTGATGCAGACGTGGCGATCTTTGACATGCTCGGCGGCACGACAATCGCGGCAGTGGGCCACCTCGCGGCTGGTAAAGTCTTTGCCAAGCGGCAAAATTGAGAAGGGCTGGCTCAGGCGACCTGCCCTGGTTGCGCAGATATTCTTCTCCAGGCCTCTTGGTTAGTTTAGCTTCAATATATGATGGTCTTTGCTTAATCAGATGTAAGTCAAAGCTTATGTTCGTTGGTGTACATAGACGTAACTTTAATCAGTATAGTCCTAAATTCTGCAGACTCATCTTCGCTACGTGGCCTATTGAATGGAAGGTGCTGATTATCTAGCATGTTATTCTCTCTGTAACCCTTTCACTCAATCGCTAGTAGCACCTTCGTACTAGAAATATCTTGATCAATCCACATGTCCGGTCCCTGTTCATGCACTATTGCGGAATATAATTGGTCAAAACTCTCTGGTTGATGTGGGTCTTGTCAAAATAAGCTCCCTCGGGTTCGGGTTCGGGTTCGGATATTTTAATGTTGGATCCTTCCGAGTCTTCTTCAGCCGTCGGCACCTGAAGTGGAGAAAAGCTCTAGAATTGAATCCAAGGCCCAATATATTCTTTTGCACTGCCTAATCAAAAAATACCCCCAGATACTGTCGGGTTCGTACACAAGGTTCCTGAAAAATCTATTTTTAAATCTCAATCCGAGGCGATCATAGAGGCTGGGTTAGTCGAGAATAGACCAGGGTTGAGGGAATCCATCTTCTCATTTTGAATTAGAAGATCCCGAGATGTGGCGTAGACTCGAAGTTTCATATCGAAATCGAGCAGCCTATTCCATTCAAAATCTGTATAAAGTCGTCGACATATTCCGTACCAGGTCTCAAACATTGTTCTCTATCTCTCAAGCCTCAAAAACACAAACCAGAGGTTCTCCATTCTCCGATTTTCTGAATCACTTCTATATCACCATGGGCTCTTCTGACTATGTTCTCTACCAATATACACCCAGCCTGGTGGCGGCTGTGATATTCGCTGCCATATTCTTTTTGACTACTGCATTCCACCTGTGGCAACGAGTTCGCAGCCATGCAAAATATTTCAATCCGTTCATTGTTGGGGGTATCTGTAAGTGAATCATGCTGGAATCATTGCAAAAGAGACAACTTTAGAGCTGACCACTCAACTCTCTACAGTCCAAGTGATCGGATACGGGGCTCGTGCAGTTTCTCACTTTCACCCAAAATCTACCACGGTTTACGCTATCCAAAACCTCTTGGTTCTGCTCGCCCCGACTCTATATGCCGCCTCGATCTACATGGTTCTTGGGAGAATCATCCTATTTCTTCGTGGCAAACACCTCAGCTACGTGCCGGTGAAATACCTGACCAAGATTTTTGTCTTGGGTGATGTCCTCTCTTTCATTCTTCAAGGTGCCGGAGGCGGTGTCATGAGCAGCGGGACGGCGAGCCTCCTTGCGGTCGGTCAATGGATCATCGTCGCGGGTCTTTGCGTCCAGCTCCTCTTCTTTGGTGCTTTTCTTATTACCTCCATCTGCTTCCACTGCCGCATTGCTCGATCGCCAACCCAAGAGGCCCAGAGAGCGATCGGTAATTCCGGATTATTTTCCCGCGACTGGAGAGGTCTGCTGTTTGCTCTCTATGTTGCGAGCATTTTGATTTTGATCCGGAGTATCTATCGCGTTGTTGAGTTTGTACAAGGGAACGGTGGCTATCTGATCAGCCATGAAATTTTCTTGTATGTTTTTGATGCCGCAATGATGTTCCTGGTCATGATTGTGATGAACTTCTTCCATCCCTCGGTGGTATTGTGTGACAGTGGGGTGTCGGTCTCCACCGAACTCAAGAGGACCAGCGGTCACTTCCAGAACGAGTCGCTTGTTTAACAATGATATCAAGGTGACATCTGTTGGTGTAGTACAATTTTTTTCTTCTTCTTAATAGTCGGGCGATGAGTTAAAAATGACAACCAAATTCGGCTTGCGCTAAATTGAATGTTACGATTTTATGTTTCGACGAATGTATTCCTTCCTTTCAAGTAAATATTCTTCTCGGGCACCTGGGTATAACAGAAGGAAAGTTCATCCTCCTACCATATTTCAGTAGTTCTTCGAAAATGTGTGCTTGATTAAAAAGTCAATCCTTCGTCTTTCTTGTTTGACGAGTAATGACTTAGCTGTACGCTAAGTGGGCCTTATTGTGACGCTAAGGCAAAGTTCATCGTGATCTTAAGTAGACCCCTCTGGACCTGTACAAGAGCTCTCTCCTTTCCTTTGTTTTTCTATCCCAGAGCCGAATGATCAGATCTTTTCCGTCTACATATTTCCATCTGGCTCACTCAATCCCTCAAGTTCACCTCTTCCTTTACAAGTAAGTGTGACCTCGGGGTCATGTGACTGTCTTCTATATCTCCCCACATCTCTTCGCCCTCTCTTCTCTTTCCCCTCCGCACGCATTCAGAGATTCTCGTGCTGTGATCTCTATGGATGAGATCCAACATCTCTATGAGCATCCCGACCTTCGTCCAACTTCCGCTGACTCGAAGGCAAGCATCAAAACTCCCCACATTGCTTCTTCTTGGGCCGATTTCTTTTCTTAATACACCCCGCAATTGACTTCCCCACTGCTCTCCGTCCATCATCGCAAACATGGTCACCACCGAAATGCCTTCCGGCTGCAGTATCTGTCGCAAGAAGGAAGGTCTTCTCGTGTGCTCTGGCTGCAAGGTGTTGCCTTACTGCAACCGCGATCACCAAATCGCTGATCGCCCCGCCCATAAATCTGCTTGCAGCGCCATCAGAAGAGCACGTGTCAAGATGGAGAAAGAGGAGCAGATCCTACGAAATCATCCTGGAAATATTATGATGTCTGCAGATCCTTTCACCAACAGTGTCGGTCATTTCTGGGGTGTGTTGGAAACCCGCGACTATATGCGAGCGCGGCTCACACTGGTCCGGGCTATGGAAGATGTCAACCATTCCCAATCTGCCGAAGCGCGACTGAACCACTTTATGGACATGCTACGTTTGTGCCGCAGTGATAACATGGGCGTGCGAGATATTGTGCCTGGGCTCATGCTTCGTCTCAACAAGGACCAAGAATGCTACGACTTCATTAGATGGTGGCAAGTCGTCAATGAAGATTCACGGTACGATTGGGGAAACATTGATCTTCCTTACCTCGATGTCAAAAACGCCGACGTTTTCGAGCCTGTGAAGGCATTCTGCGGAAACTTCCCTGACCTCAGTCACTTGACATGCCTGTGCCTTTTGAAGATCAAGTTGCTCTTCGAGGTTATGAGGCTGCAACAGTCGACTGCGAGCTTGGGCTTGGTCTTTCCTCGCGAGATCCTGGATCTGATTCAACTGTCAGTCCCTCGGAGCTCCGTCGTGCGTGCGTCCCACGACATCATGTTTGGTGATAGTGATGTCCGCGAGGCAATCATTGACAAGTTGAAGGTGCAAATCAATATCATATTCAGCGCAGTCGAGAAGGCTAATGAGCATTTCTGGCCCGCTCTTATCGATCCTTACATTGATTTGACTGAAAATCCCCAGTTCTACTCAGCTGGTAGCGTGGAGGAAATGCTCCTAGTCCTGCAATACAACCGCGATGCTTGGCTTGAGACACCCGGAGCTATTGACTTCATCAAGGTAAAGGTGAATGGTGGCTTCTGATTGTGTTTACACAACAGCCCTATGGCTTTCGTGGGGAGTTAAAGAGTTATCCTTCTCTTTTAGCTAATTTTAATGACATAACGTTCAAGAGACATAGTATTCGCTGGAACCCATTGTTGATTTGATATCTTTGGGTCAGTTCTAACTTGTAACACTGTCTTAACCTGTTATAGTATGTGCAATCAAACGCTCTGCATCCTTGGTGTGTAAGCTTCTTAAACATAGCACTGCAATCTGTAGCCTAATCAATGTAGCATCCTCTCGAAGTTTCAAAGGCAAACTGTATAAACTGAAGAATTAAACTAGACCCTTCGCCGATTCGCTTCTAATATCCCTGATCCAAGACGCGCCAATCTAACATTACCAAACTCCCAAACCAACCCACGAATATCGTTCAGGTTCGGCCATGTTGCCCCAACACCGTCCAGATTGTAACGCGGTGCCAATCCCTTATGTGGTTTCTCATGTTGTTTCCTCGGTTGAACCGTTCGTCACACAACGGACACTCATGAGCGCCTGGGGCGAGGTGTTGCTCCTCGACGTGCCGCAACAGCGATCTTCGGTGGTTCATGACCCCGGTACAGTCGTCTAAGACGCACTTCCATACACCTTTGTCGGACCTAACATATAAAATATAGAGTTAGTGTGCTTTTCGACGCCCAGCCCGCGGTGTTGGATATCTCACTGTCTGTTCACCACGGATTGTGGGTTGACATGCTCCGCGTCGATATGCTTTAGCAATGATGTCTTGTCCACGAAAATTGGCCGGCTTTCACATCGCCTCCAGCTGCATTGCCACAAGGCCTGAGGATCCCTAGGGCAATGCCTAGTAGGCTGCGGTTGACCAGAGTAAGGGCGTGCAAGCTCATACACTTCGCTCGACTCTCGTGTCAAGTCAATATAATCCTCAGAGCCTCCGCCCGCCTCTTGCGTCAAGTCAATGTAATGCTCGTACTCCCCGGTCCACTCTTGTGTCAAGTCAATGTGATCCGCCTGTCTGCCGCTGTAGGCCATCTCGACGATGGCGTTGTGCGGGCTAGTCGGTACATGCGTAGGGGAGGTGGCGGCATGGGAGGGGTATGCCGGAGAATACCCAGGGCCCAGTACGCTCATGGCCATCTCGGCGAGGCCGTTGTGCTGGCTAGTCGGTACATGCGTAGGGGAGGCGGCGGCGTAGGAGGGGTGGACTTTGGATGCCGGAGAATACTCAGGGCCCAGTACGCTCATGGCCGACTGTGTGACATCATCGTATGGTGCAGCGTTCTGCATGGGCATGTCGCCAGTGGGATTCGCGTGGTTGGGACTCCAATTGAGGAAATGGCCTGGGGATTGGTAACCCGTCGAGGGCTGACGCGCGACGCTCAGGTGCTGGTGGCAGCCATCGCAGGCACAGAAGGGGCCATGTGGAGACCAGCCATTTGCATCAACGAGGTACTGGTCAGGGCAATGGTGACTGTAGGAGCGCGCCATGGTAAACCACGACAGCAATGGCAGAACAAAATTGTAACAGAGGGGTTTCTCAGCCAGGACGAGGAGAGTTGCAGAGAAGTCCAAGGACCGAAGGCGAGGGCTCCCTTATAGCTCCATCACCCAACTGACTACAGGCCATTATGTGATTGGGTATATAGGTGCGGAGTATCACTGGCACGAAGATGGACCAGCTTCCAAGCTTAAGGGTACATCTTTGGGGTTTTTCGGGTGACATGCAAGGACCTATCACCTTGAGATGATGTGTAGGAAGATGGTCGGGTCAAAATCCGCCAGGTGACGAGTGTCATAGATTGGGGTTGCCAACAGAGCCGAATGAGGGTAGTCTGAGTCGGGACGGGGGAGCCGATCTTAGCATCCATCCACCAAGCGGCGGCACCCATACCTAGGTAGACCTATACCCTAGGCTTTAAGGATTGCAAATCTTGTTTGGACACGGCGCTGGACTCAGTAGAAGGCGAGAAAGACGAGGCAGTCCAGACCGGCGGCTTGGCAAGCGTCTCGATGATGGAAGTCATCGCGACTATGTGGAGTTCGACATCTGCTACCGCAACACAAAAACGTGACGAGGGGCCAAAAGGATTGGCAGCAGTGGTGACAATAGGATATTTGCTCCTTGTGAGAGGGGGCAGAGTCCAGGAGGGGGCAGAGTCGAGGAGGGGGCAGAGTCGAGAGGACCCAACTGCGCGTCACCGCTCTTTGCAATGCAGCCGGTGGTGATTTGCGAATAGAGCTACAGGGATCAGACGTCTCCTATTTGCCCCCAACTCGTGGGAGGTTTGTTTTATTTTTCCTTTTTGAATTCTCAAAAGTGAATATGATCCCTTGGAGCCGTTCTAAGATCCAATGTCGATCTACAATTGTAACACAAACCATGCAATGCAGCGGGCCTTCTCCTAATTATTCCACTTGATCTATCTTACTGATTTAACCCCCAATTCTGTACTCCGTAGTGAGTCCGATTGTGCTGCATCAGTATGCACGAGGGTACTCGTACCTAATTACCTGTCGATCTCACATCGCTCCAGATGTCCCAATCATGTTATTGCGATGCCTTCGATCGAGAGTTGATTCACCTTTTTTTTAAATCACGGATCTACCGGGAATGCTTGTAGTTAGTATCATTCAACGTAGAATATTCCAAAGTTAACTTAGAACCAGTTTACCCCCGCTTCTACACACGTGAGCCGTGATCGAGCGTTCGAGCAGGCGGCTCCCATTGCCACGCACTATTTAAGAAGCGAGTACTCCGTACGTCATTATTGAAAGGCATTTCCATATATCTACAGAGCACGCAGTGCTAAGTACCAAATACAGAGTAGATAACTAACTTTCTAGACCACCATTCATGCAGGTCTAATATGGGAAATGTTTTGTGGAATCAATGGGCAAGGTGCGGTATTAATTTCGAAATTGAATATCGACATGTGCGGTTTGACAGTTTGACAGGGAGACATTTTTCTAAAACGTGTGTACTCTTGACGAGACCCTGTGTGCAACCCGCGTGTCCATAAGCTGATGAGTGTCTGATATCTTCCCATAATTCAGACAACTCTACAGAGTATCCAGTACTCTATATCGCTTAATTGCAGATCTGAACATGCATACGGAGTACATAGAACTCGGGGAACGATGGGACCTGCAGCATTCTGCATTGCTCCAGGTGGGCTCTTTCTTCCATTGATGCCAGGAAAACAAAGGATGGAAACACGGCGGGAAAAAAAAGTAGAAAAAAAAACAAAAAGAGAAATAGAGAATAAAACAACAGGAGACAAGATGACGATGCTTGATCTGCCAATGCTATCCTCGGAGCTCTAGAGCTGGGCGGAGTTCTTCTAAAGTTCGAAGGGCAATGCACGGACTCGGGGGGCGATTGGGGACTCTCAGGGCTCCTAGAGTCCTGATCCTTCCTGCAGAATGACGTCTGAGAGAATATATTTACACATGACCGTCCGAGTTGTTGAGTCTCGAAATAGTTGATATACGGAAATATCAGTAGATATAGACTTTTTTCACCTGATTTTTCGGGGAACTGATCGAGGCCTATGAGACTCTAGCCACACTGCCAAGCCCCCTCGGTCCCAACTAAAGCAAACAGCACAGCCAGATCAAACGGCACAACAAAATGATACCTCAGATCTACTTAAGTATCGTATGTAAAACCATGCATGATGTGGCTAGATCAATCACCTGATCGCCCAACTCGATTAGTTTCAGAATTTTATTTTTGTTCGATTGTGGCGTTGGGTCCCGGATCTCGTGCTCCGTACAGCCGCAGATGTCGTTACTTTATTGATCTATTATTTTTTTTTCACATTTTTCCCAGATCGTTTTGTTTATGTATTTTTGACTGCTTGCTATTTTGTATTTGCCCTAGCCAGTACTTAAGTACGGAATCTATTTTTCAATGCTCGACGCTTGATATATCTAATGCCAAGAATCAGGTCTACGTATTCGGTTGAGTGTTAATATTGCTGCCTATACCTATATTACTATGATAGTAAGAAGGATAATTCCTATGATGAAAGAATGGTCCCTAAAGTTTGGGACCTGCACATGCTGGACGTTCTTTGCAGTGCATCTTCACCATCAAATGCGGCCCAGGAGTTTGACACCTCGAACTATATATCCATATCGGGTTGGCCTGTACTTTTGAAAGTTTCCACGGAACTTTAGAACGGCCAACCTTAATCATTCAGTGGCAAAGGACGGAAATCGGAGTATTGTGGATTGGAGCGGGTAGACCCGGAGGTTACCAACACAGCGGTCCCTTAGCCCTTGCCTTGGTGCTCCGGCAAGGGCGCAACGCGCGGATCTTGACTTGTGTTACTCGCGTGTCACAGGAAGTGCCAGGCACGAAACCAGAAAGAAGTCCTGAATTTCAGCGCACAGCTCCTGGCTGAGGTATAAAATGGGCCAAGGATACTTAACAGCCTATCGAAGTCGTCCGTCTCGCTACTCCTTACGCGATGCATAGCCAAACCCGACGTTCCGGAAAATTATTTGGAAGAAAAAGAGACTCCTCTTGGGCTGTGACCCATTGAAGCAGTACTGCGGTGCAGCAACACTGTGGCGCTTGCCTGACTTTTCAATCACAAAGGCAATTCAGCAGGAAGCTAATGAGTGAGATGAACCAGGCTACTGAGAAGGTCACAGTCCGGTTTGATCTCTTCGATACAGAAAAGAAAATTATTCTTCGAGCAATATTGCAGAAATCCAGCTCTGTTTAGTGAAAGCGTAGACGTCGTTATTGCCTGTGAAGATGGGGATCTAGATTCCTGGGTATTTTTGACAAGCTTCAATCCGCCTATGTACCTGTCTCTCTTACCACCAACGCAAGATACCTGAGCATGGTCGTTGTGATCTAGTAAATCATCTGGCGTTGTCGCAAACCCAAAGGATTTCTTCAATCGTAGCTGCCGTTTGTCAAATTGGTCTGGGTTAGCACTTGCCTGTATAGTTGTTCCTGCCAGCGAATATGAAGCCTTTTGTTGATTCTCTTCGCCTCGCCC